ACCGAAAAATATACCATTAGCTATAGTATAGGTACCTACTTGAAAACTACCAGGGGCTCAATTCGTGCTGAATGGTTTTATTGGGACTCAGTACGTAGCCTTTTTAAAAATACTTTTCTCGTTTGTTATAGTTAAATTATCTAATAATAGATATGGTAAAATACCTATTTTAGGCTCTTATAGTTAGTATACCTACAATATTTTATGATATTTATATACCTACACTTCACTTGTCACTTCACTAATCCGAAAATATTATATTAATTGGATTTTTCAGTTCGTACAGGTTATTATGTGGAAAATAACTAATAAGTAGAATACAAATCATTCAACTAAAAGTTTCAAAAAATGTTGAAGATATGGATTTTAGGATTAAAAAATATTTTAGTTTACAAAAAAAATAATATAAATTGGAATAGAGTAATAGTCAATAGACGTACAATTTCTTACAATAATCAGCAAGATACTATATTTTATTATTTATTCACATGTGTCAATGAATTATAGTAAAATATTTTATGCTCAACATCAAACAACAAGAATACCTTCATAAAATATAACGACGCACGAATAAACGACTTATCTTTTAGCCAAAATCAACTATAAATACTATAAATCACGAATCCGTCTATTATTGGTTATAAATTATAATACTTATCAGTAGCCGGTAGGTATTCTAAATTATAACAAATAAGTATAAACCTTGCATAAATCGTGGGTAAATGTTCCATTATTTATTCGTGATGCCATTATAGAGCGCTTTGATGATTTTTCTATCGATATGGTTATCAGTTTTCATTTAGTTAAGATCTATATGTTATGACGTGTATTACATTGGTAACGGACGTGCACACATAACATGTACTTAATAATATAATATAATAATATCTTTTACATTGCGTTTGATATTTAGACATTTTATAAATAAATAAAACAAGGCGCGTTCTCTGAAACGTGATCGCCTGCACTGTTTAAGTAATTAAGTTAGATCGTTAAATATTTGAAGTTTTAAAGCTAACAAATTTGTATTGCAGAAAACGATATCTATTAAGAAACACCGAGAGTTATCAAAACTTATATTTTAAACTATATTATTAATAGTAATGAAGTAATCATAATTATAATATTGTCCGTTTCCATAAATGTTATTGTCGCAGTGACCGGACGGTGAGCGTGTGGGAATGGCGATTCGGCCACGGTTTCGAGGAAAAATCTTATTCGCCACTTGCACACCACAAGTATATGGTAACTAGTGTACAATTCGACGGAGATGCAACCATATTGGCCACGTCGTCTTTAGATGGAACCACTACACTTTGTGATGTCGAGGTAAGAGTGTACATTATCATTTTATTTTTACAGCACCGGACGAATGAAACAATAATATGTTTTAACGTTGTGAGGCCTCCCTAAACAGTAAATAAGAATGTGACGTGTACATGTGTACCTACATGTGTATTATTTACATCTCCCTCTTGATAAAATAAAAACGTTTTTCAGTATTACCTCTATATTGTGGGATTATTTTATAAGGTATATTGATTATCGATTTTATCCGATTTTAATACGCTGTGCGATTTTGAGGTAAAGGTGTACTGTGCAGGTACAATGTACTTGTATTATTATTTTATTTCTACGCCGGAGAAGCTTGCTGAAGTTTGAAAAAAAGGCCTGAAATCAATGCTATGAGGATATCCTATGAATAAKTATTAATATGATTATAAGAATATGACGTCTATACTGTATCATCTCCAATAATAACCCCTTTTAATAGATTAATGTTTAATTGTATAATCGTTACTTGTCCGATTATTTTATAAGCCATATCGATAATCGGGTTTTTTCAAAATTAAATAATGTTTTTATAGTTTTACTGTATAGTGTCTATAAATAAATATAAATGTTATATAATATTTTGCGGTTTTAAATGTTTTCTATATTATTATCGTCATCGTTACATGCGAGTATTTTAAAAATTAAGTTTTGACTAGAATTTTAAATTCAAACCGACATAGCGTGTTAAACTGTCACAAATATTATATCATATTTCCTCACAATTTATCGGTTCGATAAAGCATTTAGTTATAAGACATTGTGATCACGTTTATATGAAAATGTATCCTTATGTCTTATCGTACAATATCCAATTCGCTGCCAATATTTTAACGCATACAATTATTAGAATTGGCTTTCTCCTTATAGAGTTTTTTTTATTTTTTAGTTTCGGTAATGATTATTGTTACAAGCACACGTACTTCATACAAATAAACATTTAAACATTGTTATAAAACAACGAAACCATCTGTTAAAATTAATCTCATATCCTGTGCATATAATTATTTTATTCAAACGAATATGAATATATTATTGAATTTTCATATGATATGCAGGAACAGGTACATACAAATAATAATCTTTGATTTATTTTTTTTTAATTTCATATTATACGATGTGATGTTATGTCTATATTGTCTATAATATCAAATATCGTACATTTTTTATGATACCTTATTAACGTTTTCAATGAAACGTATAAAAAAAATGTTCGTACTTATATGTATATTATATGCATTCAATTTTATATGCATATTATATGCTGTAAAATTAATGTTTTCGTATATTTGTCTGATCATATTTTTAGATCATTATTTATTTTTAATTATTATTATTTATAGTAAATACTATATAATATACATTGAATTATATATTTATATGTCATTAAAGCTGTAAATATAATAATATACAATGTTGTTATCTGTGGTTTGTACCTTGTACGAATGGTATTTAATAAATCATTACACAAAACGTAATTCTTTTTATAATACAGGAGTCAGGTGTGTATATATTATATCACATAATTTGAAACTAATTATTATCAAGTTCCATTAATGACCGTGATATTTATGATATATTTGTATGTTATTTAACCTTTAAATGAACGAATTCAAAAAATGCTTTTAAATATTTGTAATTAATGTAATTATTTGATCTTTGATATTTTTATGCCTATTTAGTCACTTATATTTATTAATATAATATAGGTGTATTTGTTCGCTGTTAGATTAGTTTGAAAATCAATGTCTTTTTAGATAACCCACCACTTAGTTGCTGATTTTGTTTGAAAATAATTAAAAGAATAATAATTATTTTTTGCATAATTTCACTTTAAATAAATTCTAATTATTGTCTATTATACATGTATATATTTTTTTTATTGATCATAAGCCCGACAACTATGGCCATTAGCTGTTTGTAGAAGAGAACGTTTGGTTTGGAACACGTAATGTATGTGTAACGAGGATTTATTGCTAAAAAACTGAGTGGCCACCCATCCAGAAGCTAGCAACATCAGCCGATGCGTACACTTAGAGCATTTCCGCGGTTGAGAGTACGACCAACGCCAAGCCACTATTATTTATATAATTTATCGAATGTATACATTTTCATTTGCGCGCTCATTATGTGTTTGTATATATAATTAATAATTATGTATTTAAGACATGCGTTGGAGTAATATAATGTATTAAAAGGAATTCTAATTTAAACTGTTCAWCCATTTATCACTTATACTTACAATCATACATAATGGCTTAAAAAATATCTGAGTTGTGGCTTTCAAGTTATTATATCATATTTTGTTCATATAGTTCTTTAGTAGGTACTTAGGTAGTTAATTTGTGTATTACTTAGATTGGTATGTAAATATTACATAATATACCTACCTACAATATAAATTATCACAAACTAAAAATTATTCTAATATTAAATATACATTTTAGACGGGACGAATTTTGCACACTTTTGTTCAAAATAGTTGCGGTGGTATAAGATCGTCATGCTTCATGGGAAATTACAAATATTTCGTATCTGCTGGTGACGATGGGACAATGTGTGTGTGGGATATATTCAGACGAGTGCTGGTTAGGTAAGCTTCCTACAGTTAAACTTCAATAGTATGATACAAACTTCCATTTAATAAAATATTTTGTTTAACTAAATATTTTTTAGAACCAAACCAAATTAAAACCAAGTTTATTTAATTCTGTTTAATGAATTTTTCTAGAGTACCAACTAATTTTTTTTCGCCCATTTAACTTMGTAATTATATACATATTATATAGAAGTTTTACTATATAGTATTTTAATTTATGTAGGAATATATAATAATATCAAGTACYATAATATAGTCTGTAATAGTTTTAGTCATGTACTATATAATTATTTAGATTATTTATTACATATTAATGTTTTTGATGTGTGCTCTGAAAATAGTAACAAGAAAGTTAAAGATTTAATTGAGTAATATTCTTATAAATACCGCCAAACCGTTAAATATCTAATAAATTGGCAGTTGACCATTTAAATTTAATCATTTAACTTTTTGTATATTCATTAGTTTTGTAATACCTAATTATATTTAGGTAGCTATATATATAATGTAGTACCTATAATCGTTTTGTTAATTTATATAGAAAGTAATCTATACAAATTGAAAAAAAAATTGTGAGTGTTTGTTTAACAACAATACAATAAATGTTTAAAATTATTGATTATTAATTATTATATTATATCAATATTTAGTAGAGCTGGTAAACGTAAAATATTATACAGAATTTCATTTTTTCACTTAGAATTTTAATGATTACAGCAATAGTGAATGTAAGTAAATGAAAGTAAGTGTTGTTCATATACAAAGCCTAGAATCTATTCAAAGTCGTTTTCTTCGTTTTGTTTCTTACAAATGTAACATACCACGTAATCCACACTCACAATATATACCGTTATTAAACGAATTAAATATGACCAGTCTAGCTGCAAATAAGAGAAAAATCATTGATTTAAAGTTTCTTTATAAAATAGTAAATGGTTTTTTAAATTGTCCCGAATTACTCAGCTGCTTAAATTTTAATGTTCCTCATTGTCGAACTAGATCTACAAATACTTTTTACATTCCTTTTCAAAGAACTAATTATGCACTTTATTCACCTATTCATAGATTAATGAAAATAACTAATGACATCCAGATAGATCTATTTAATTTTCCTTCTTTTGATTGTTTTTGTAACCATATTTTGTATCTATAAATTACTTCTGCTACCTATATTATTATTGTCTAAATTATATTTTTATATTGTTTTTGTAATTTTTAATATTATTATTTGTATATATTATACATATTATACTATTTGCTGTATTTCTTTTTAATAGATTTAAGTCCACAAAATTGTATTTAATTATTTAAAAAAATGTAATTGGTTTCAATCCTTTTAAATTAATAAAATAAGAGTTGTCAGTAATAGAGTCGCGAACCACACAGTATAATGAAAAATAATACTCTTCTCTAAGAGCCAAGAGCTGGACAAAAATGTTTCTCAATAATCGTAGATAAAATAAGATATAAAATTTAATGACATTTGTAGAGTGCAAAACAATATATTAATATACAATAATATCGTATTAAATTTTGTAAGGTATAATTTTATCTTTATAAAATACCGATTATTGTGTTAGATATTAAAAATGTTTTGAGCCTTACGATAAAACGTAAACTATGATTTGTCCACCCCTAGATTATAATATTTATTTGGTGTAAATTAACTGACTATGATTAAATTACATTTTATATAAATACAGCCTATCATGCTGTGAACTAACCTCAGTTTTATGATACTTGAAAGGCGTGTTGTATAGGCAATTTAGGTACATTGCTGTTAATATTAATTTTATTGTTATTATTGTAAATTGTAATAACTTTAAACCATATTTTAATGAAATAACTGGAAATGAATAGTTTCTAATTTATGTGAATTGATTCGAATGATAAATTATTATATTTTAAAATATTTATCATACCATAAGCTATCATTAAATAAATGAATATAAATCAATAATAAGGTGTGCGTAGAACAAAAAGAAACCCTGTTCGAAAAATGTCTTTTACCGTGTAACCAATTTAACACACAATGAAAAACATTCTAATATTGTATCATTAATTATATTGTTTTTATTTTTTATCTACTGTAACTTTTATAAATTGATAAATCGCCTTTCGAAAAATAGTTGAAAATGCCACTATAATATAGTTTTGCAGGTTCATTAAAATTAATTTCTMAAATTTGAACTGTTACGAATCATATACATTATTTAAGTTCAATATTATGTCAAATATTATTCATTGTTTGGGACATTAATTGAAAATAGATATTATTATGATCGTTAATTATGATTTATCATAAAATGATAAATTTTATATAATTTTATACCTATATAAATACACAATTTTTTCAGTTTTTTATCTGTGCATATTATAATGAGCTGTTGAAATATTTACAGGACAGYAACAGCGCACGAAGAAGCTATTTCGATGATATGTTGTTCTTCAGACTTGAGAATAATGTTGACAGGTGATACGACGGGGGTGGCCAAAGTGTGGCCAGTCTCTGAGCTGACCTATACAGGTGATACTTACGAAAAAATTACGCCTCTGTATGTGTTATTCGACTGTCACGACATGGGTGTGAATTCCGCTGACATATCAACTATCACTTCAATAACAAGTGAGTGATATATCATAGTAAGTATATAATATAATATTTATTATATCAAGTTGAAAAAATAATATAATCTTAGAAATTATTTGAGTATATTATACGTCTAATGTCTATACGTACCTAATAATTATGCATCTTAAATTAAATCCGTTCACGCTTATATCCCTCAAACCGTTACAGGTAAGGGTAAGGTRTACAGTGCGCTGACGTGTGGTAACGACCATCTGATAAAAATCTGGCAACTGACTCTGTGGAAGAAGAACATAGTTTCTCATCAGTGTTCCGTTGAAATAGTACAATCGCTGAAAGGCCACTCATCTACGGTGACCAGCGTATGTTTTGGCGGAGCTGACGGAACGCTGTTCGCGTCCACATCGATGGACAAGACTACGAGAATTTGGCAGGTAAAGGTCATATTATATTATGTTAGATTCAGTAGTGTATCTCGGAGAATTTTATTTAAAAATTTGTTTTTTGTAGTGTGAGGAGGCAAAATATAAAACGTATTGTATCTTGAGATATAGTGAAAGGAGAAAGTTGTACCCCTTCCATTAGTTAAATATATTTAATTATATATTTAATTTAGAGAACACGCCCTTGTGTTCTGTTTCTGTCATAAATTCGTTTACAAGTATACAACATWGATAATATATGTTCAGAAGAACCAATTCCGTATGGTTAGATTTAAAATATTATAACTTTAAATTGACCTATTATCAAACTTCAAGCTGAAAATATTTTTCAGTTATACATATTTATACGATAAATACATATATATCATATATATATATATATCATGTTAATAATTCGACTGTTCTTGGAAAAAATATAGGTACCATTACTAAAGGTAATAGTCACCTACCATGTAGGTATTTATTAGTGCGTTTTTTCGTTGTTATTCGATTTACAGATTTACAGTTTTATAAATTATATTATTTATTCTATTAAAGTATTAAAATTAACTCAAAAGATTTGTGAAGACTTACCAATTGATTCTAACCTTTAAGTCTTATAATAAAGTTAATTCACTCTAATATTTATATCAACAACGCAAAATTTGTTCTGTGAATCAACCATAATATTATTTTGCTACGTTTTAAGTTTGTAATATGCAACAGCGWAGGTCATGCGAGTTTGTCTTCCTCGTAGAGGTAAACAGTATCTCTCAGAACGAATCGAATTATTTTTTGTACAAAAATGGAATCATATAGATATAATACCTATTATAATATCACTATATAAATTATATTTTGTGTTATTGTTTTAAGATGGTCGGGTCAAACAATGCGGTTTGCTTACAAGTGTTGGAAGGACACACCCGTTATGTTAACACTTGTGGATTCTCTCAAGACGGTTCACTGTTTGTGACTGGTAAATTGCCAACGGTTCTATGACTTGTTATGTATGTCCACGCTACACAAACCCTTACAATTTGAGCTATTTTTCGTGTAAACACATGCTCAGCATAATATTGTAATTTGTGATCGTGTTGTATGTGCATTATAATATATTTACACCAAAATAACATACTTATGCATATATATGTAAATCAAATAATAACAACGCGTACACAATATTTCGTTTTATATTTGCTCACGTATTTGTACGTCATATTATTTTAGGGTCTAACGACAAGTCTGTAATTGTTTGGGACGTGAAAGGCGATTTAAATTTAAACACCAAATTACACGACTCGTCGGAGGTGAGTTTTGTTACAATAATAATAACGGCATACCTATCTTTTGGCTGTTGTGTAGAATTTATAACGACAATAATATATATTAACTATACCTATTCAACAATATGTTAAATCATTTTCAGGACTTAAAGTCCGCAGTAAATGTTATCAAGCGTGACAATATTCAGGCAGAGGTGTTCCTAAGGGAAAAATTAAGTACGTTTACGAATKCAGTGAATTCGTGTGACTTCAGCAGCGAATGCAAATACCTTGTGGCGGCCGGCGGGTAACGCTATATATTTATATTACGTATATGTTTGCGATTATTATTACCATAAGCGTATGCAGACTATGAGGTGTGACTAATACTATTTTTTTGAACACACACCTCTTTTAACTGCCCCCATCCAAAAAAAAAAGTAAAAAATACCAAAATTGTATAAATAAAACATAATCAAACAGAAAATTGAAATGCATTTTTAGTGTGATAAATACTGATTATACTTCCAAATTCTATTTGAAATTTTCTTTCATCTTTTTTTTCTTTTCGACTTTACTTAGTGACAAGACTGTCAGAGTTTGGAATTTTGATGAAAACGGACGTACTGAAGAATGCAAAGGCTCGCCGTTGCGCGCCCACCATTACTCGATACAACATATGGCCATCTCTCCGTGCTCGTCGTACATGGCCACCTGTTCATTGGACGGAATGACCATTATTTGGGAACTGAATGTAAAGATTAACAATATTTTTACCTATATACACAGAGTTATATATCAATTATGCGTAGTTATTAATCATTTAAAAAATATATATAATATATTAATATACCTACTTACTACTTAGTGACTATATTATTTTCAAATTGTTGATATTTTTTAATTATTTAAATATCCAGTGGATTAAGATACAAACTTTTGTTTTTCAAATTGTAATCCCCTTTCCTTTTATATCGTAATTTGTTTCACGGATAGTTTTTCTAAAAATTTTGAAACATCAAAATCAAAATTAGAACGAATAAAAGTTATTTTTTAACTTCTACTAATTTATATTCATACAAAGGGTAATAGGTCTATGATGATTCATTTTGAAGATGATGGGGGGAGGGGAGGAATATATGGTAATTTAAAAATATTGTAGTACCTAGTTTCTAAATTAATCGATCAAACTATTTAAAATTTGTAAGAAATAAGAACGGTTCAAATAGATGTTACAACTATTTTATATTTTTATTAAAATATTTTTAAGGACTATATTACCCTTAATGTAAACTTTTTAGTATAACTAAGAAATTACTCATTTTGAATATTTTGAATTACTTAATCAAATAAGTTCTCACATAAATTATCTGCTAATAAATGTATACATTAAAAATATGATCTAATTTTAAAAAAACAACAACAACAGAAGTTCGTATCAYCATAGGACACTATAAGCTATCTTCAAATAACTATARTATATAAAAATTTCAAAAATCAGATTATTATAAATTAGGTAAATATTAAAGGGTCATACTTAGTAAATCACTCCTCAGTATATAACTGCCCGTCTGTCCACGTTACAGTGGAAAATACTCAAATAAGGTTTATTAGAAATTATATTGCAAATAAATTTACAGACTCTAGAACAGACAGGTTCGTTACACACTGAGTACGGCGGGGCCCGATCCTGTTCGTTTTCTGGCAATTCCGAATTGATTGCGGTCGCTTGCAACAACGAAATTGTGTTCGTGTGGAAAGTGGAAACATTACAGCTAGTCGCGTACGTACGATGGGTTTATAATCATTAATCAGTAATCACTGATATGGTGATCACTGATCAATCATAGCACTACCCTCGAGTTCCGACCCCAAACGTCCCTAACTTATATTATATTACCTAAATATATATGCATATAATATATAAAATTTAGTTGTCTTGTTTTATAATTTTTTAACGTCGGTTTTATTCCAATGTATACATTACATTGGTATACTATTATTTTAATATCGAAATTATTTTAGGAAACTGTGCGGTAATGACGAAGACGTCACTTGTGTATCGTTCAGCCCAGATTCTCGATATTTAATGTCCGGTTGTGTGGAAGGACACTTTCGAATTTGGTCGGTACATCCGAAAAAGCACATAATATCCAAAACTAGTACAATAGTCCAAGACAAAGCGCACGAAATCGGAATAACAAGTGCTCATTTTGCGTTCAAGAGTAAATTTTTATATTGACATAAATAGTAATATAAATTATAAAGTACCTATATGTATATTACAATTATTACATACATTTATAATCGAACGTTTCCTGACTGAAGACTGATCATCATAGAGCTTAAACTATAATAACTAGAGACTTGAAATATTTTAAGTATCTTTGTACCACCATATAAGTCTGCACTACAATAATATTTCCAAAACTCGAATATTAAAAAAGTTTTTCACAAGGATTTTCAAATTCACAATTGAAATAGAATTTTTTTGGTATATAGCTAGATGTTTTCCATTGGATACTTGGGCAGATTGGGGTAAAAGTATGCATCAAATGGTCGTGTTTGTGATGGCTTCGTCTAAAGAATTTATATTTATATTTTATACAAATACGATAGATGAAGGCAAAGGCGGGGACACTGGGCATTAACTAGTTAATTTATTTTCTAACCGACTTATGAACTTAACTATAGTTTAATTGACATTTGAATTAACTTAGCTTTTCTCTTATTATTTAAAAATAATTTATCAAGTTAGATTAGGTTCTCAATCATTCGAGTTATTTCGTAGAACTATTATAAGAATTATTTATATACCTTTTATTCCAATAAAAAAAAAATAATAAAATATATTTATATGTAGGTATAATAACTATATTTTAACATTTATGTCAATAAGTTTAAGTTTATTAAAAATGTCAGGAAAATGAAAAAAATGGCCAAATAGTACCTATAACTTTGTTTAAATACAATTAATTGTATTATATAGGACTAAGGCCTATAGGCTATAATTAAATGCTGTAACACACACTTTGTGCAGTAATAAAATGATATGAAACGTGAAGTACAGCAAATTAAAAATTCTGCATTACTATTACTTTTAATTACACACACTACTAGCTACTACTACTATAATATATTTCAAAACATTTTGGAGAGTGGAATTAAGTGGGCAGTAGTAAAATTTGTGAAATTTAGGCACTTTAATATACTAGCTATATGATTATTTATTACTGCATTTCCGTTTCAGTTTATATTTTTCGATTATTTTGCGATTTAACCGTCTAATTCTGGATAGTTGAGAGTTTACTGTATATTTTTTGTACCAATATTATAAAATATTCCGTGTTTATAGCTATAAGTACATATTTACACACATTTGTGGTTTTGTTTTTGACAGCAAACTATTTTGTTATGTCACCACGTATGTTTAACAATTTTTATTTTTTACTTTTTTTTTTTGTGTTAATCCTCTAATACGTTATTTATTTATACCTGATATTCAATCAATATATATTGAATATAATATTATATCATCATTTGCACTATTATTGATCCGTTAATGTCGCGTGTCGCAGACCCATCCAGAAAACCACGATCGATGATGATGTTAACTGGTGGCAGTGACGCCGTGGTAAAAGCCTGGAGGCTACTGGAGGACAAAATTCAATTCAAAATGAAGTTTGTCGGCCACGGTAGTGACATCACATGCGTCAAGTTCCCACGGCACATAACTACATTCTTGGCGTCTACTTCGCTGGACATGACAGCTCGGATATGGCAAACGGTAAACGTAAACGATATATCATAATAATATCTTAGCCTATATATGAGGCTAATCCGTCTAAACTTTGTAGTTTGTAAAGCCTCCCCTCCCCCCCCCA